TCAGAATAAATTCATTTTATAGAAAACTCTCACATATAATTTTTATCAGATAAAAAGCAATGGTTGACAATATTTTCTGTATTATCGTACTTCTGAATTAATGTTTGATCTTTTATAAATCGAGGACATCAAGTACATCTAGGTGCGATTCTTATGTAACACTTTTTGTATGTAGACGCACTTAAAACTAAAACTATGTCTCGATGCAACAAATTTTTCACTGGAGACACATTTAGATGTGTCACAAGTCTAATATCAGCCGTGTCCAAGTGCGATTTAGATAGAATTGCGTTCGTGCGTGATTTTACTATTTTTTCCATTGCATTCAAACGCGTTGACACGCTGGATTTCTGCGTTTCTTGCCTACATGAGCTCTGAGAAAACTTAAATTTAGAAGAATAATTATGAAGTACCCGAAAAATATAACGAAAGGAGATTTTCTCGTCGTTTCAAAATTTTTTGCGTACAAATCGAAATGAAATACGTAGCTTGTTTCACTGAGTACATTGTAATCGATTTGTACTTACAACCATTGTAACCTAGTCTTTGGTGTATTGTTCAGAATATGGCTCTATATGATTGTTTATAACTGACACGATTCAACATAATCCTTTTTCTCTATCTGATTCTCATAATAATATAGAGTGCTTACCTTTGGAATCAATATCACTATCTTACTCGGTGTGAAATCGATTGAGTTTTGATTACTCGTTCTATATTAGAAGAAAAGAAGAATTTTTCAAGGCAAATGCAAGAAAATATTTGGTTATATTCCAAGCACAAGCATCCATATTGCTTATCAATTAGTTTCTTGCAAAGATGAATCATATCTGATGTATATATACTAATGACAAGGATTGCTACATATAAAAGAATATTGACAAATAAGAAGTTTCTTTTTTCCTACGTATTAATAAGTCATAAATAGATTATTGATAAAAGGAAAACAACTTATTTTCGGGTAATTTTCTTTTATCCATGATCTATTTATGACGTATTAATACGTAGGAAAAAAGAAACCTGTTACTTGTCAATATTCTGTTATGTGTAGTAATCCTTGTTACCAGTGTATGCTTTTGATATGATTCATGTTTGAAAAGAACTAATTGAGAAGCAATATGTATGCTTGTAGTTGGAATATAACCAAATGTTTTCTTGTGTTTGCCTTGGAAAATTCGCTCTTTCTTCTAATATAAAACGAGTAATAAAAACTCTAATCGATTTCACACCGAGTAAGATAGTGATATTGATTCGAAAGGTAAGCAATCTATATTATTATGAAAATCAGATAGAGAAAAAGGGTTATATTGAATCGAATCAAGAGTACTGTGAAGAACTAATATATCTATTTCTTACTGCATAAATTAAAGAGAATTCGAAAAAGAATCTCAGAAACGTCACCTACAGTGATAGATGTTGTTGTATTTTTTGCTTTCTAGTTTATAATGGATATGGTCCGTATGATTCGAAGACTGATTTATTTCTATAATGACTTGTCTCTTGTAATTGAGTCATGTAAAATATACCCTGAAAACGCCTTGTTTTGCTCCTGTTACATATTTGCACAAATCCGTAAATAAGTGCTCGAGTTGTTCCGAAGTGTTTACCTAGATTTTTCGATATAGAGAAAATCTTATGTTTGAAATAATTACTATCCAACATTCTTTTGGAATATTATAGATGACCTCGACTCAAACAAGCATTCTATCAAAGCGTGTTAGTACTTTCTTACAACAAAAACCTGATCATGATTGGCTGATGATACCGCTTAGTGATAAACGTGGCAAAGATCAATTCAAGAATACTGTTGTCTATACAATATTTTCTTCGAATTTAAATCGAGATGATTTCGCATATTATATTGATATGACATTTTGTGATTTACCAGAAGACATGAGAAAAAGAATGAAAGGCTTATATCTAACAAATAGTCATTCTTTTCAACAGGAGGATATTGTTTTTGACTATGCCAACAAAGATGGTAAAATATCGGCATCATTACTTCAAATAGTTGCTCAAAAAAATCAATCAAATCAGTTGGAAGTTCTTGTTGGTATTATATCTCTTATACGAACACCTTCAGTGGGCTGGCACTTTAACAATGACTATTGGAAAAGTGACAAATGTCGAGTTCAACGAGGATTGCAGTATATATTTGCAAGTGAAGCTCAAAAACAACTATCTCGTTATTGATTATTGAATATTCATTTTTTTAAATTAAAACTAGTTTTTAAAATCACTTCGTGTTGTGAATATCGTCTCATATGTGTTTCCTATCAAGTGCCCTAGAATAAAATTTTTTTATCATCAATAAAACCAATCTGAAGATTTTATTCTAATATGCTACCAATGATGCATGCCGTAATTTCAGTTCAAACGAAATTTTGCAAGTTTAGTTAATATTGTGCCAGGTAAATTTTCCAAAAGAGTGTGAGTGTGTTGGTGTTGGTGTTTGGATGAGTGTCAGTGCGTGTGGATATGAGGAGTGCGTATGAGTGTGACCTGGATGTGGGTATGTAATCTTTTAGAAGTACAACCCATACCCACATCTGTTCTATGTGTTTTTTGCATTTCGACTCATCGAAATAGCCTGTTAAAAATAAGTATCCCTTATTATTTATTAAAATGTGTAAATTTATTTCATTTATCTGGTTCACTCTTAAACTCAAAATAATTAAAGCATTCAAGTTTTTCTAAAGAATTATTTCTTTTTTTTTTCTTTTAGCTTCATCCGAATAACATGCCAAAAGTAATTAAGTGCACTATATTTATATATATAAATATATATTTTTTTTTCTTTAGATTCATCTGAATAACAGATCTTAAGTAAGTAAGAATCTCATATTGTTATACGTGTATATTTATTTTCTTTATTTAGTATAATATCAAAATAAAACTATTGTAAGTATGAAATTTTTATATATGATTGGTGTTTTTATTTTCATTTTAGATTCAACATAACGACATCTTGAAAGTAAGTATTCCTTATTTATATAAAGATACATATTTTTTTCTTTATTTAGTTCAATATGAAACCAAAAATAATGTAAGTATGAAGACTTCACAAGTAATTATTTCTTTTTCTATTGAGATTCATCGCAACCGCATATGGAAAGCTGCATTGAAGAGCGATTCGAGATATCAACTTCATATGACAACGTTTTCCTTCAGATAACAACGACGAACTATTGGTGTCATGGCCTACCATTTCCAATGTTCGTCTAAAAAAGAGCGAATTCGAACTGATTCAAATGAAGCTCCAGAGAAGAGTTTAGTTTGTCAAATAGATTATTTGACAATCGAAACATCCTGAGGAAATTCATTTGAATCAGTTTACATTCGTTCTTCTTTAGACGAACATGGACAGTCGTAAGCCGTGACATCAACAGTTCTGTCAGTGGCTTGTTTTCACCTGAGGGGAGGCGCTGTTATGAAAAAACCGATAACCATAAAAATCGGTCTATATGATAAATCAGTTTTAGTTATGTTTCCTAAGCTCTGAAAAGGTTATTTGAAAGTGCAACGTGTTATAAACCCTTGAAGAGTTTATTGATTTCCTAAACTATCTATTAAATTCTTAAAAAGAATTTATTATACGTTACACTTTCAAAAACTTTTTTAGGGTTTATTATTCTATGGTTTTTTTTTGCAGTGTATTCACTCTCACTCTTACAATGCGTACTAGAATCTCCATCTCAGCGATAGAAGAAAAAAAAAGAAAAATCACATGTCGCTGTCTCGATAAATATAACGATGTTGGTATAGGAAAAACATATCGTTCCTGCAATAATGCATAGAATATGTAAGAGAACCTTCATCTTAATGATAGAAAACACAGAAAGAAAGAATACCAATGTATATATCGCACAGAGTATCAAATTTCGACACAAGAATGAAAGAGAAGAACAGACTAGACTATGTGATGACTGTGTGGGTGTGGGTTGAACGAAATATTACGACCCACACTCTCTAAGAAGCTTCATTCAAATTGCTTTCCTATAAAAAAAAAAAAACTTGTATTAAAAGAAAGAAAAGAAGAGCCAATGATTTTTAAACGTGGAAACATGAACCATGCCGTGTGAGAGTGAATCGTCGAAAATCACTAATACACACATAGTCATTTAGTTTATTTTGGTATAATTGATTTTTAACCCAATATACACAGTCAAAAATGAAATATAATATTTGCATAAGAAAAAGGAAGACAGAAAATATAAATCCAACAATTAAAATCTAATCGAGAATTCTTGCATTATCGCAGAAGGTAGTTTGATAATAATTCTATCCAAAGTAATTTTGAGATTCTATTAAAAACTTTTTGTTTACTATTATTATATTTCTCTAGAAAAAAACAACTAATAAGCACAACAGAACCAGTCAACTTGATATCGAGTTATTATGTACGTGGCAACTATCATATTATCTGTGCATGTTATTCTATAAATACAGATACTACTTCCTTTCTGTTTCATTTCAATGTCAATTATGGGAAAACGGACAGTTGGTCGCACAGACAGATGCGCACGGACACTTGGTCGCTAGGACACTTGCTCGCAAAGTGCAAGTAGAAAGAATATGCAATTCAAAACAAGAATAAACTTTATTGTTGATGTCATGAAAGAATAAATAGAGAATAATAGAACAAAATTTGAATAATAATACAATGAAAAGTCAACAAAAGATACCGACAATTTTCAATAATAAATAAGAAAAAAAAACAGATTTCATAGAGACAATAAACGTCCAATGCATGTTAATTGGTCGTAAATATTTGGATGTGGATTTTCTACCAGTTGTCGAAGTCGTCTATTGAATGATTCATATTTTTCTGTTGGTGGTTGTCTTCCTGTCATCGCATTAATAATGTCCGAATGTATGTTGTTTTCTTCTTTGATTAATTTGTCCAAAAATGCCCATAAAGTTGGATGACTGCATTGAAAAGCACAATTTAATTTTCGATGTCATCCTTCCACATGGTTGTTGGTACGATGCAAATCGTTTTACACACGCGTTACCATATTCCAAAAATCAATCGGATAAGATGGCTGTCTTCTTGTACGTCTACGTAATCGACCAATATAATTATCTTCTATATAGTCTAGTACTTGATGATAATCAGTATCAAGATTAGAACATACTAATTCAAAACCATCAATAACCATAGTTGGTTCCATAAATGTTAATGCACATATCTTGTGCATATTATCAGCAAATATCACATCTGTCTCATACTTTTGCTTGAAACCATGTGTCTAAATATATAATATTAGTGAAATAGAGTCATAAGATATTTACTTTAAGGATCATTTACCTGCAGAAACCGAAGAACATTTTGGCAAAAATGAAAGTAGCAACCACTAAGTTCAACTGCTGGAAATATGTGATTAAATACATTAATTGTTGCTTTTTCAAAATCCATCATTACTCGCTGTGATTGCCACGCTGGAGCTAACTGCATAATTTCATTAACTATTTGTTGGTAAATTTGCTCTGTTTTGGATGATAAAAGAATAAATGCTACTGGTATAACATGATCACAATAAGAAGCATGTATAGCAAATAGCTGAAAGAAGATTTCTGGTACAACTTTAAACGTTCCATCAATAAAAAATTCCTATAAAAACAAGACTAATTAGTTAAAAATAAAATACTTTGAAAACTCACTGTAGCATTTTCCATAGTGATTTTTTGTTCATTAGTAAAAAAGACTAGTAACCGTTGTGAACCTGAACCCGTATCTTTTTGAAAAAAGGTAGTGTTAAGAGTTGTTTGGTGGTATTTTGGTGGAATAACAGGAAAATCAATGCTTGTCGGTGTTGGTTCAGTAGTATATTCTTGTCGCCAGCAACGAATATTTCTTTTTAAGTTATAATTACTTGGTAATTGAACACGCACCTCATCTGGTACACCAATAGTTGTTTGTGTTAAGATATTATGTGGACTTGTTTGATTTTGTTCGGATTTTTGTCTTAACCGTTCGTAATATTTACGAGTAGTTTCACATCGTGGATTGCCAGTATGATTTTCATGTTCACCAACTGTTTTAATAAATTCATAGTTTAATTTTGTATGTAATCGTCCATGGCAAGCATATTTTCTAGAATATTCACATTTCCAAAGAATTTTTGTTTCACTTTTCCGATCAATTGTGTATGAATAGTCATTGAATATTAATAATGGTGCGTTTTTAGATGTTTTTGATAGAGTAACTGACATTTTCTTTTTTTATGAAGTTATTCTATTCTCCTCTGTGATTTATATATACACTTGTTTCGGTGAATACAAGGATGTGGGTGTGTGGGGTGGGTGTGGGTGTGTGGGTATGGGTGTGGGGTAGGGGTATATGGGTGTGGGTGTGGGTGTTGGTATTTTGATTGTCCACATCACACCCACACCCATACCCACGCACCACCTACAGCCACATCCACATCTACACCCACACCCCACCCACACCCACACCCACACCCACACGCCCACACGTCCACACCCACAAACCTCCACCCACACCCACATTCCACGCACACCCCACCTACAGCAACATCCACATCTACACCCACACCCCACCCCACACCCACACCCCACACTCACACCCTCCTATTCGGAACCAGCGCATGAAACTACATCAAACGAGGTACAATACGATATGTTTTTTGAGAAAAAAATTTTTGCGAAAAATGGTTTAGTTTTTTTAAAGTTGATTTTTTAAGTGATATATAAGTCGTTTTGACTAGTGAAAATCCGTTTCCAAGCAAAAAAAACTGGCATGTCCGCCTGGTATGTGAAAGTTGCCCACTGTGTACAGTATACTGATAGAAAATTCGTCATAAGAATCTCTAATAATGATAGGTCCTGTCCAACCGTATGTAGTCATCAGATGAATGATTAAATTTGAATAAATAATATAAACTCAAGAAATTTAAAAACGAAAAAGAGCAAAGATCAATGGTAAAACTCTTGTGAATACTTTTAGTTTATAATAAACGATATAAAAGTCGCTAAAATTAGTCAAAACTCGTATCACATCACAGCGATGCAACATTGGATCGACCTTAATTTTTTTTATGGAACAGCGAATTCTAGAAATTTTGGATAGGTGATCTAGACAACTATTTTACTTTCAGCTTATTATAATAAAATACAGATACAAAACAATGCTTAACACACATTTGCGACCTACTGTTCTGTTTTTTGTCTCTTAATTTGCTATGTCTCCTATCTATGAATTTGAACAAAATATTATCGAAAAATGAAAACTTAACAAGGCCTGTCATTTCATCAATGCAAAGATCTGTTTTAACATGCTGTCGATTAGTCATTCTTCTTATCATGTTTCTTCTACTAGAATATCAGTAGTAGAAAAATTATGATTTAAAAACATCCTCGGTTTACAAAAACATTAAGTG